TGTGCCTCCCGCTGTGCGTTGAGCGGATGTTGTCAGGGAACTGCCCCTCTTTCCTGAGGGGTAACAGCTAATTTAGACACAAACACACACACCCCGCATTTTGTATGGCTAGTTGGGATTATGTTTTCCAGTATGTGTTACTTTGCGTTTACCAACCCTCGCAGCCCAACCCAACTCAGGGAAGTGCTGACTGGACATGTTGTGCCTCCCGCTGTGCGTTGAGCGGATGTTGTCAGGGAACTGCCCCTCTTTCCTGAGGGGTAACAGCTAATTTAGACACAAACACACACACCCCGCATTTTGTATGGCTAGTTGGGATTATGTTTTCCAGTATGTGTTACTTTGCGTTTACCAACCCTCGCAGCCCAACCCAACTCAGGGAAGTGCTGACTGGACATGTTGTTGCCAGGGATTACACCAGAGCTGAGAGAGCAGGGCCTGGCCACAATGGTGCAGGAAGTCCCTTTGAAGGGGAGACTTAGCAGCCGTTCCTACAGCTGGTCAGACTCTGGGCTAGCCTGCTCTCTGGAGGACTGTTGGGCCGCTGGATCCTCTCCCTGGAGAACGCTTTGTCCCCAGCTCTCACAGCCATTGCTCTGGGCTCATGGATGGGCACTTCCCCAAAGAGAGCAGTAGTCACTGGGGTTTATAGATCGACTACCGGCTTTGATGCAGCTGGGGCATGATCCACAAATGGCTTTGAAAATCAGGATCACTACTTTAACCCCGTGGTGTCCAGCACACTAGCCACTAGCCACATGTGGCTATTTGGCTGGTTGAGTGTGGCTAGTTTGCTATAGCAGTAGCTACTATAGTGGCTACTGCTTTAGAACTGGTTGGACACCCCTGCTTTAAACTGACCCCAGGGCTGGCAGGGAGTCAATGGAGGGGGAGCTATAGAGAAAGGAGGCAGCTGCTTTCTGTTTGAGCTGGAGCTTGTGCATCATTTTCACATGCAGCTTCAGTGACAAATACCAAGGCCAGGAGTCAGTGTGACCATCTCGTCTGACTTCCTGTATCACCAGGCCATGGGGCTTTAATTCCTGGCTGAATTAAAGCAGATCTGTTGCTGCTATTGGAGATACCCAGGGGATTAGCTGGCCCTCGGCCCTGGGAAGTTCTGTGTTTTCTCAAGTAGTTCTGTAGAGTTTCCCACAGTTCTCCCCACCACTTCACCCACAATGGCCTGAAATTCTGACACCTCCACTGAAGGTGCTAGAGCTGGGGGTTGTTCCTGGAGACATCCACTGATAAAGCCAGAGCTCTCCCTTCTGCTTGTCTGCCCCTGAGCAATGACACCCCAATATGTATGTCCCTGCCGCAAGCACTGTCCCTGCCTGAACAGTACCAAGCACAAGAGGGCCTAAACAGCCAGCAGAGGAAAGCTAAGCACATGTGTGGATGGACATAGAAAGGTTGGGATGGAAGGAACCACGAGGCATTGTCTAGTCCCCCTGCTGAGGCAGGACCAAGTAAACCCCAGCCAGCCCTGGCAAGTGTCAGCCTGCCCCCAAGAACAGGGATGTTCCACCCTCCCTGGGGAGGTTGCAGGATCAGGGCTAGGTTTGCCAGGTGTCTGGTTTTGAACCGGACAGTCCAGTATTTGACGGTTCTGTCCGGGGAAAAAATTAAGAAACTACCAGACACATCAAATGTCCAGTATTTTCTAATTAGGTAAGTTTTATTATTATTAGGAGTGTGTGAGTGTGTCTACCAGCCAGGCAGTACGCACCTATGTGAGGGGAGGGCAGGGACGGGGCCAGGGCCAGGGCAGGCGAGAATCCCCGGGGCCGGACTCGCTCAAGCTTCGCCGGGACCATGCACAGGATGGGCAGCGCCCCGGGATCTGCCTGTGCCTGGGTCAGTCCCGCTCCCCGCCAGCTGATTCTCTCCACCCG